CCCGGGAAAGCAACACGTTGGCAGCTTTCATATCTCGATGCAGAATCTTAGAGCGATGAATCTTCCACAAACCATTGAAAAGATGCTGAAAATTAGTTTCCTATTTGTAACGGAGAACCATGAAAATATTTGTTCTTCCAAACTAAATACTATAGGAATCGTAGACTAGAACCAAAACTTGAATTGTCTACCTTCATCATAGTTTTGATATGAACCAATGATATCTTAATTTTATGGTTACTAAGTAGGCCAGCAAGGTCATGCTCACAAAATGCAAACACCAGATAGAATGTTGATCGATCACGATTATGCGCAGAAGCTGGAAATAGAAAGCTGTAACTCATGGAGTATCACTTACCTGATTTGTTTCCAAAATAATATGGAGTGAATTCAACCTCACCTTTACTGCTGCACACTTCGATGAGATCTGTGATATTTTCATGTTTGAGTTGTTGCAGCATTTTCACCTCTCGCAACGCCGTAATCGGGAACTGAAATCAAATAAAGAGTGATAATGAAGTCACGGCAAAAGATGCTTTCGTGTGGACATTCGAAACCTACGCCTTCCTTTTCGTTTTCCATCAAAATCTTCTTGAGAGCAACCATTTTACCAGTTTTCTTACACCGAGCTTTAAACACCTCTCTGAAAACGGACGTTAGCTAAGAGTAGAAAAGGATGCAATTGTAATCCGTCTTACCCAAAAGTTCCTTGCCCTATTTTCAGAAGTTTTTCATAGTTGCTCACGTCGCTTATGTACGGGAACTTATAATCCTCAACGTATTTTATCAACGCCGGAGTTACCTAAACATTCAAATTACAGCAGATATTGACTGATTTCCATCCATAACAACATTTTAGAACTGACCTTCTGTCGGTCCATTTCAGCCATCTCCTCAGGCGTAATCTGCGTTTGAGGGTGTTGCTGAACTTGGCCATTCATTTGTGCAGAGGATGATGAGCTGGAAAAACAAATTTATGATTTTACCTAAACTGAGCGAAAAAAGGTAAAACCAATGAAACTGTGTGATATCAAAAGTGGATAATCTTGAAAGAAATAAAAATTCATTCCACACTATTGCATAATTCACATATTAAAGCCGTTCCCATGAAGGCATTCGCTTTACCGTAAAAAATCTTTAATCACAAATAAATTCATAAGTTTCTGATTAATGCCAATCTTATGATGTTTTAGTTGGAACAAGAAGGGTACCATTCGATTCTATTCCAAAGACTTTTTGAACCTGCACTCTTTGAAAACTAAAGTGTAAGAATGGCACGAAGAGGTTATCGATAATTTGTCATACCAGCAACAACATTGTAATTCGTTTCTCAAGTAAGATGAAGAGAACTGACCCCAAAACATCTTACCTGTGCCCATGCCTGCTGTGATGCTGGTGCTGAGACGAACGATTGCGGATTCGAATGGGAATGAGAAGGGGCATTCGAATGCATCACACAACCTCAAAATCAATTGGTTATTGCATAAAAACGATCAATTGTTCTGACGCCCAGATCAATCTTCCGCATGAATCGTCAACTTCAACAAAATGTGAGATAGGTGGTTCATTTCAAAGCAGCAAAAAATGTCGCCAAAAAATTTTATGCAGCATCAACGCGAACTTGAAGAGATACATGATTAGTAACGTGTGATGCAGAGGTATAGTTGTAGCAACTTTGACAATGATTAGGTAAAGCCTTGTGAATAGCAGGATACGATGATACATGTACAAAGTAGTAGCGACACAGGCGCTCATGTCCTACCTACGGACTAGTTGAACTAGATCCCAAAAAGAACGGTGGTCAGTGGGACTACGACTAAACCCAGGAAGAATAAGACACGCCAAGGAGAACGTAGATTGCACACGTCCTCTCCCAAAATCGCTACCCCTCCCTAAAGCTGGTCCCAAGTTTTATAAGAGACTCACTCACTTCAATGCCCCCCTAACGACATGAACGCCGCGACAGATTCAGCATGGACGGCAAACGAGCTCATTACAAGGTTTGCTACAGTTCTAAATATTAGCGCACAATTCACAAGCCCGCTAAACATGTTGTCGACTTTTGGAGTAAACTTCGTAGCATTTTATAATTTGGAAGTCTTGCTGAAGCTTCACCTGTATCACCTGTCGTCCCGTTGATCATCGAATTGCTCGAGCGGGCGCCAGCAACGTCTCCATTCGTCCCTGTCGCGTGCAAGAGTTGTCCAGTGGACCCTCCTCGCTCGAGGGACACGATGTCCTTCATTCCTTTCGTTCAGAGCTTTCGTGAAGAAGTCTGACCATCGGGCCGGCGGTCGTCCAGGTGTTCGTTTGACGTCCCGAGGGATCCAGTCGGTAACCGCTCTGGTCCAACGGTCATCGCAAAATCGCATGACGTGTCCGGCCCACCTTATCTTCGATTCCTTGGCGAAAACGGCAGCGTCCCTGATCTTCGATCGTTGGCGTAGTTCCGA